ACTATGCAGTGTGGGGTCTCGGTAAACAGTATGCAGTGTGGGGTCTCAGCAGTATGATTGTGGGGTCTCAGTAACCAGCAGCATGGTGTCTCAGCTATGGACTTGAAGTATTAGAAAGCCAAGGCATTGAGCATCACCCCTAGATCTGCTTTGTCTGAGGATTTAAGAGCGGACTGGGGGTGTTTGAAGAACCCTAACCTGGTGAACATGTGCAGTTTCATGTGCACCTTTATCTCCAGTGTATCAGTGCACAGAGTAAACTATAGTTCTACCAAAATATTCCAGTTACCCAGTAATAGGAGTTCTGCAGGCTTATTTTTAATCTTGTGTGTGTGTGTGTGTTTTAAATAACGACCCTGTATATCACCATTCTGCATGTCTTAGCAGAACTGAATTTCAAATCCTCTCTACGCTTCAAACAACACCAAAGGTCATAAAAACCAACACAACCTTTATGTTTTTTCCCTGTCTGGTAGCTTTCCATATTGGGTAGGAGAGCTGACATTTTTCCGGAAGCCTGGTGACTGGCAAGTGTGTGTGGGGGGGTCACCTGCTTCTCATTGTCCTGGAAATGGTTGTGCTCACAGCTCTGGGAGGTCGCTGATAGGTGCCCTGACGAGTAGGAGTGAAGTATTGTCCTTGGTGTCCAGCGCCCTGAAGATATTTTATGCTCTGATTACTGTGCAGCATTAACAAGAAGGAACAGACTGTCCAGAGTAAGAAGGAAAGTAACAGTGGGCTCTCAGGCGAAGGAAGCTGCTCTCAAGGCCTTAAGTGAGCAACTTGGTTTTCCATCATTGGTCTATTACCTATACATAAAAATTCCCAATACTCAAGAGAAGTTTAAAAATTACTTTCCATTTGTATTAATAGCACACACACACACACACACACACACACACACACACACACACACATATGGTTTTATTCCCTCTTGATCTTAAAAGAAAATATACATTGGGGGTAGAGAAGCCTGGATTAATAGAGTATTTTATGGAAAGTCCAACTGAACATTAACAGATATGAGACAAATAGCAAGATTGCCTTCTCCTGTCTATGAAGTGTGGTGTGATGAGGACACACACACACACACACACACACGTGGGCTGGTGGTGTGATTCTGACAGTCTCCACATAGATAACTCTGTATTAGCTTTAGTGAGAAAACTGGTTATGAAAAAACTGGTAGTTTTTTTTCCTTCTCTTTTTTTTTTTGTAAAATGATGAATTATTTTTCAGAGTGTTTATAATCCTGAAGAAATTGTGTTTCATTAGTTGCCTATGTGTATATCAAACTTTCTTAAATTAGATTTTATTTGCTGGCTGGTGATTAAAAGCGTGTAAAAGAAAAAAAAAAAGTCATCCCTTGCTACGGCATAACTAGCCGCCTTCCCTCAGGGATCCGTGCAAGAATGCAAACCGTAGCGCTCTGTGCATAACTCGGGGGAGTGAAGGAAATTCTAGAAAAAAATACTCGGAATAAAAGAAATCAATGAACTTTCAAGACAGCGTTCTCAAAAAGCACAGCTGATTTTCTAGCAGCTATAGTGATAATCTAGGCAACAATGGCATGAAATGCCTTCTTCCTCTTATACTAACTAGTCCGTGATAGACAGGGAATTCAGCTGAGTGAATGGTTGTCCGTGGCCAGTCTTGTGACCCCTCTCCAAGCCCATTCCTAGGCACAAAGCCCTCTGTTAGCAACAGGGTGGGTGGCTGCCTCTCACCCTCAACCTCCTTCAAAGCCAGTCTGACCAAAACTACTTGAGAATCTCTGCGAATACATTTGCACTGGTCCAGATTTCAAAAAGGACCACCTGTCTGTCTATAGGTTATCATGTTGAAAATCAGTTCTCATTTTTTTGTTAAGTTTTAAGTACAGAGCTACTAATAAACTCAAAATTGCAATGTTCATCACTGACAGTTCCCTTAGATACCACAAAGTCCAGTGATTTTACAGTCGTAGGTGGCGTTTTTGCTCGGGCGGTTTATCATGCATCGCTGATTTGATTTTTACATTTAAATATTTAAACTGTGTTAAATAAATTCTCCATAGGTAACTGAAGAAACAAAGGCTCGTGAGATTTATGAAAACACTAAACTTATCTTGAAGCTCAGTGCCTGAGTTGAGTTGAAGCATAAATCAAAATTTAAGCAGCAACTAAGCTTACAACTCCGTATCAGGTGTTCGGGGGAAGACATCAGATTCTGTGGGCTTTGGGCAGCTGGAATTTCCTTCAGGAAAATTACTTATTCCAGTTCCTTAAGTAGAAGGAAGACACGTGCAGTTGCCCAAGCTTTCCACGGTGAGAAGCAAAACTAAAGAGGCTTATCCTTCGCTTTCATACGAAATTGCTTTAGCGGGTTTTAAAAGCCCCCTTTGTAGAGTTTTCGAAACATACCTAGTTTGGTTCACTTCAAATGTAGATTTTTGTGATAAACCTAAAGGCACACTGGTGTCAATGAAGTGTACCCCGTCTGAAGTGTACCCACTCTGCTGGAAAGGGACGGGGCTGAGGATAAAAAGCTGAGGTCTTGAGACCAGGGCCAGGGTGGGGTGCAGCCAGGCATCGCTGGCCTGACCCACACTGAGGGTGTCTGAAGGAAACCAGATTCAAAGCTTCCATCCCCTAGAACTGCGCATGGGGATAAAACGGTCTGATAGGGCTTCAAGTCCTTGGAATGAGCTGAGATTGCTGTGAATCAGGGTAGGACACTGGCGTGAATGCACTCCCTGTACAGCTCAGTAAAAACAATAGGAAAATAAATGTAAAAACCCACTCCCCCATCAGAGATATCCAGTGTGATAACAGTGTAAATTACCCCTTAACATATTTTGCTTGGTGTGACTTAATATTAACTGAATTTTAGGTTGCTTTTTTACTTTTCAGTGTGACTGCTAGGGGGATAAAAACACAAATATGGCAAGCGTGTGTAACAAAACATGTGTGTCTGCTCACCGGGCTCACTTCAGTCCCAAATCTGCATTACAAGGGTGAATTTATATCTTTGAGCGACTCAAAACGAATAAAAAAACAAAACACAGTGTGGTCCATTGAAATCAGGAGCTTTTCCTAGGTTCCTAATCTTTTGGAAAGACTGGAGATTTTTGTCGTTTTCCAGAAATCTCCGCTCTGGCTTTTCAAAAGTGCAGGGACATCAATACATGGCCGGTTGCTTTGTTAAGGGTGAGTTACTCCTCTCCGCAACACTTTAGTAGCTTCCCTTCATCTAACGGTGTTACTGAACCCATCCGTGCTCCCTTATGATGCGGCAGAGCATCTGAACCCACTCACATCCTTTGCTTGACAGCTTTTCCGACTGCAGCAAATCCACATACAGTTTTCTGGGGGTCAGACGCCAGGTACTTCTGAAAGGCAAATGGGTTGATTTCTGTCCTGTGTTTCCAGCCCACTGGGGTCC